GATTATCCCCCCCCCGCGGCCGCCGCCGATGCAATCTTTCCTCGAGCCGTCATTCATCAACGCCCCCCCCCCCCCTCCCCCCCTCTCCTTCGTCATTTTGAAGAGACATCCCTTGTACGAGCTCTACGTGAATCAGGACTCGAGGGCGAAACCCGCGGCGTCTGGCTCTCTGCCTTTGGCAGCGTCTGGCTCTCGGCCATCGGCGGCGGCAGCGGCGGCCGGCCCACCCCCATCGAAGCACCCAGCACAGGAGACCTCTCCCGCCAAGACGACGGCGATCCGACCGCTGGACCGTAAGGCGTACAATGCCGGAAGGGATGTCATCATGAAGATCCAGAGCAAGCTTGACAATGATGTGGTGGCCCACAAGGCTCATCTCAAGAAGGTGAGAGAGCGAACCCGTGTGTCTTCTGGCTGGTAAGCGCCGCGGGTGGAATGGTGCCGAGCCCCGTGATGAATCGTTCACCGCGTGCCACCTCTCGCAGGCTCTGGCTATAGACTTGTCAAGATGGCAACAAGGGAGGGAGTTGTAACACGTACATTGAGATGGACCCTTCTACGTCTAATCACTGCGATGTTTCCTGTCTCGCTCTACGTGAACTTGGTGCTTGACCATATTTAGCTTGCCGTAATCGTGTCTTCCTCCCGCCTGCCCTACGCTGGAACACGACCATACGCCGATTGGTCGTTATTGTACCGTACGTGCAGGCGCTGCTAGAAGTGCGAGAGCTGTTGCTCGGCCTCCGGACGCTGCCGAACGCTCGCAACAAGGCGGCAGCGGACGTCTTGCTACTCCTGGCCCACACCAAGACCTTCGCCGAGCCCACAAACTACGCCACGGTGGTGGGGGATCCCGTCCACGTCCTGGCGAAGGAGATCGGCAACAACGTGCCCAAGGCGGTGCTGGCTCGTTACAAGACCGAGAAGCGCTTGGCGATGCAAAAGAGAAAGAAGCGCGACTCGAGGGCGGCGGCTGCGCTGGCCGCTGCCGCGTCCGCCACCGCCCCCGACGGAGGCGCAGGAGGAGGAGGAGCAGCATCAGCACGAGTAGGGGCGGTAGACCCTCCGTCATCTCCCCCGTGCACACCGTCATCTCCGTCCCGACCAGATGCTGGTGGTGATGGTGTTGGGTGTGAATCTGATGGTGCCGCCTCTACTCCTGTGAAACCTTCCCCAGCGGGTGCGGCCACAGCCGCCGGTGACGGTGATGGTATGACGACGACGCCTTCGGCGAGGAGAGCAGGAGCAGGGCAAGCGTCATCGCCAGACGACAATGAAACCTCTTCGGCCGCTAGCGATCTCGCCACCACAGCCGCCACCGCCGCCGCCTCCCCCGGCAACGGGAAGGGAAAGAACGAGGCGAGGAGCGGCAGCCTCGCCCGCGCATCGGCCATGGTTATGGCCAAGGCAGAGAAGACAGCAGCGGCGGCGGCGGCGGCGGCGGCGACGGATACTTCGAAGGCCGCGGCAAATGGGAAACCCCCAGAGGATGCCGCTGAAAATGAGAGCGGATCGTCCGACTGCGAGTCGGAGGCAACCGCTATCGCGAGCGAGGGGGAAGGGGCACCAGGAGCGGCGGCGGCGGGAACGGCGACGGCAGTGAACGGCGGCAGGAAGAAGCCGGCCGCAAGGGCAACGGCCGCCAAGTCTGCGTCGCCGGCGCCTGCACCCGGTGCGAAGCCTGCTAGCGTCGGCAGCAAGGGGAAGAAGCAGGGCGGGTGGAACAAGAGAGCCAGGGCTCGACCAAGAAGAAGCACGCCGGCGAGGCCGAAACCCCCTCCGAAGCCGCAGGGACCGAAGCCGGGAGATGGGTGCCTGAAAGGAGACGAGGTGTGTTGGCGTTTGGCGCCGCCGTTGTCGTTGTGGGGGTGTTGGTGTTGGTGTTGCTGTTGGTGGGTTCTCGTCGTGGCAGGCTCCACTGTCTTGAGCAGCTAGTTGTGTAGTTGTGGGTGTACTATGGACCGCTAGAGATGCCCAGCTCCGCCGGTTACCATCTTTCACTGCCGCTCGCGACAGATCCTGTGCGGTGGCAACCCAGCAGAAAAGTGCCGCTCTTGTCCGTCCGCATGATTTCAGCATTCCTCACATCGTGTTTCGCTCTCAACTCCCCTTGTTTGTCCGCTTCCCTTCCGTGGCGGAAAATTGTTTGCGATTCGTTGATCTGGTGCAGGTGATCCACGAGTACTGGCCTGTTTCCGGGCCTCACTTCGTGCTGGCGCAGCTCCTGCAGTGGCACAACGATGGAGATGGGGGTAACCCCAACGAGCCTTTCGACGACAAGCTCCGAGGGTAAGCCGCCGTCCCTTACCTATCCATAATCCGTGCAGCGCGGACTAGCGGGTCGTGCTACTCTGCCATCTATTGCTCACGACGGTTGTAGTACTTGGGTCGGCGATGATGATGATGATGCGGTATGGCTTTTTTTAGACAATATTTTCCGCTTCCATGAAATACGATCTTTCGCCTTTGTCGCTCATATTGTGTCGGAAGTGGGGACATGCGGGCGTTTTTCTCTTGCGCCGGTTGTGCCGAGCAGAAGCCTTGCTTGCTCTCGCACCCGCCTGTCCTATTCGCTCCTCCCCCCGGACACAAACATCCGCGACATTTGCACTATGGACCCTGGCACATCCGCGCGCCCTCCCGCAGTTGTGTCCGCCTTCCGGACGTCCTAGAGGCGTACGAGGGCACCGGAAGCTACACCAACGACCAGCGGAAACTCCTCGTGACCCACCTGGAAGACCCTGAGCAGAGAAAGCACCCATGGCCCGCTAAGCTCGACGTGGCCTTCGGCAAGGAGGATCCGGAAGAGCTCGCTGCCACGGAGGCGGCCGCCGCTGCCGCTGCCGCTCTAGGCGAAGATCGAGGAGACCGGGCGGCGTCAGGAGACGCCGGTGCCGCTAGCGGCGGCGGCGGCGCCGCCGTCGAATCGGCCGCCTCCCCCAAGGGCGACGCGCCCGGCAGCGGCGGCAGCAGGGGACCGGGGGGGAGGTTCACCGGAAAGGTTAGGCGCGCCGGGTTCGGTGGCAAAGGGGCAGGGGCGGCCGCGGGCATGGCGGCGCCCGCGGGCGGGCTTGTGCTCCTCGGAAGCCCCATGGTGGACGCGACTCTGGAGGACACGCAGGGGCTCAAGGAGGTGATCGAGATCTTGAAGCGGGAGACAGGGCTCTCGGACGGCGCTAACGGGGACGAGGGGGCGAGCACTTTGAGGATGGAGGTGTGTATGATGCTTGTGCAGGGGCTGTGGGGTAGGTGGAGGTGATCGGGAGTTTGGGTGTGTAGGTAAGGGCAGTTGGACCGAGGAGAGAGGAGAAGGGTAGCAAAGGGCCCACGTTTCGTTTTGAACGAAGGTCATGATTTGTGTTTAACCGCACGTTGGTTTGGATGTTTGATCGACCCACGGGTATGGGTGACCACGATATATGGCAAGGTTTGTTTTACTTGATTCGTGCACTTCTCACCTCTCATGGCTGTTTGAACGATACATGTCTTGGTCGGCGTCGGTGGAACAGGAGGACGGGCCGCAAAACAGCACACCCACCCCGTGGGCTCAGTGCGACAGGTGCCTCAAGTGGAGGAGAATACCCTGGCACATCGACCCTGAAACGCTCCCGGAGTTGTGGACTTGCGAGAACAACACCTGGGACCCAGAGACGGCCAGCTGTGACGTGAGCTTTGTTCCGTCGTTCATATTGGAAATTTGTACATGCAATGTTCAAGTGAAATGTTGGTTGTCCGATGAGTCAAATGTTTATCTTGTATCATTCGAAGCTTCACGACGGTAAGCATTTTTGTCTTTGGTATTGTTTTGTGTGGGATACTGCCCCTCGCTGTCATCGTTGCCCTCTTGTAGCCTAGCCAGCCGTGCTATGGAATGGACGAAGTCAGGAAAATGGGTGGTGTGAGCTCAGCAAAACCGGGACATCACGTGAGTTGCTCTTCGTCATCAGGTTAATGCTGTCAGCCGGTCGCTCCCCCTTGCCCTGCTTTCGGCGTGTCCTTCTAAATGGCCTATTGGTTATTTGAAACCTCACATGTAGGTGGCAGAGATTGTCGACGAGGAGGACATGGAAGCCTCGGTCATTGCTGGCTCCGCTATCGTCGAGGAGAAGGCGCTAGTCGTGAGCTCTTGGATCGATGTTTTCTGCAACCAGACGCACAAGTGGTACCCCGCTAAGGTAATCAAGGAAGACAGGGAGGGGGACCGCGTGCTGGTGCAGTTCTTCGGCTGGTCGGAGAGATACAACCAGTGGGTGTCCAAGGTGTGTTTTTATGGCCGATTACAGTCTGGGGGTTAGGGGAGGGTGCCTGATGGTGGCCGCGAAATTGCATCCTTTTCTTGATGTTCTTGCGTTTCCTGCGGCATGTTTTCTGCGTTGAATTTTCTAGAAGAACGCGTTGTACATCTGTTGCAGTCATTAAATGAGGCTATATGCGGGGCGGTATTCGCGTTTGCAGCCAATAGCTGTTCCACGTTTTACGGTCATGTGCCCCTGGCAGGCCCAACTACGCGCTGCCGCTTCAATACGGAGCAGCCAGTTCGATAAACCTGAGGTGTATGGTATTCGTTACCCCCGCCCCTCGACTTGGTTGGAGGTAGTTCGGGGATCAGGCCGTAATTTGGCACGAATTTTGACCATTATCACTGGGTGTTGTTTCAGGTAATCGAGCTTAGCATGTCGTCGTCTGAGTTCCCGCCCTCGCCTTAACATGACGTCCCGCTGTCTTCGCTTCTGCCGGTGACATTGTTCTCGGTGGAACCCACGTTGCGCAGAAGAGCAAGGACCGCATCCGCCGGGTACACACCCATACCCAGGAGGTCGCGCCCGCACGCAAGTGGCTCAAGTGAGTAGACGGGCCAGCCAGCCAAGTATTTACCGCTAGCGCAGAAGATGGGCGAGGAAGCTTTGTGTGCCAGCGTTAGTGTTTTGGAAAGGGGAAGGCCATGGGCGTTGTTGGTGCTCGGTATGCTGATTGTTGTCGGCCGTTTTATGTTTGGAAGGAAATACACCGGTTTCCTCGGTCGAGGCGATGTATACATCATCATAGCGTATCACCAACTCCTGGAGATCATGTCCCCCCGTTGTTTCCACTCACAAATGCATGCGGCCATTCGCCGCCGCCGCGTCCTCTGGAACCTCGACGTATGCGGCAGATTCCGCATGGTGCTATGGTCACCACCAAAGATTGTTGAATTCTTAATGCTTGTAGGTTTATCGCTAGAGTGTTTTGGGTCCTCTCTTACGCTCCTTGCTTCGGTTGGTCTTGTTTTTTTTCATCAGCAAAATGTATGGCCGGGGGTCCGGCGGTGGATCCGGAGCGGAAAGGAGCGAAACGGAGACCAAGCTCCCGAAAAAAGGAGGGAGCGATGGAGATAGAGGTGCATCAGGCAGCGGGTGTGGCTCCAACGGCAAGCGAAAGGCCGCGGTGTTGGCGAAAACCGCCACGCCAAAGGTACGCATCTCGGCGGGTCAGATCGGACAGGTGGAGACGAGGTGTTTGCGGGGAGAGACAGAGACAGAGACAGAGGCACAGACAAGCTGAGACGGAGAGGTACTCTATGTATCAACCATGTCATCGATATCGCACTCGTGTTGGCGATAATTATGTGTTTCTTTGCTCCAAGCACCAAGAGGGTTGAGGGAGATGGTCGTTGACCCTTTTTGGTGGTGTGTTCTACCCCGGAACACCGTATAAACGATACGCAACGCGACTTGTTGGTTGTCCCGCACCTTTCCTCCGAAAAACCGCCTTTTGCCCCCATTTAATGGCCCAATCATTCTCTCTCCGCCCCCGCCCACCCCCCACCAGTCTGACTTCGTGTACTACGACGGAGCCCCGAAGAGCTCGCTTTCGAGAGAAGAGAGGATCGTGGCGCGTCGCAATCGCACCCCGGCCGGACCGCATCCGCCACCCAACGCTAGGTCGCCCCTCGTCCGCAGAAAGCTTGGCGGGGCTGCCAAGAGGAATATGGAGAGAAAAATGGCAGCCACGGCGGCGGCGGCAGCGGCGGAGGCGGCCGTAGCGGCTAAAGCGGAGAATGGCGAAGCTGTGGGTGGCGAAGGCGATGGAAGCGATACGCCTGGCTGGCTTGGGGGGACGGAGGCGGCGGCTGGTGACGGTGGCCGCGGAGATAACTTTGGAGCCGAATCGAAGGATTTCGAATCCGCAGCTTCGGCAGCGGCGGACCGCGCGGTTCACAGCAAAGCGGAGGAGCACTTCCGGAGCTGGACCTCCAACGGGGACAGCGAGGGCGCGGTGGCGGCGGCGACGGCGGCGGCGGCGGCGGCGGCGGCCCTGCTGAAGCGGGGCGAGACCCCCTTCAAGCAGGACGAAGCGGATCACGCTAAGAGCCTGCTGTCCGGGCTGGCGACTGCCTTCCACTCGTCGCCGACGAGGGTGGCGGAGGAGACCTGGAAGCGATCTCCGGGCGGGTTCGGTGACTCGCCAGCGGAGCAAGACAACGGCGGTGGCAGGAACGGAGCGGAGGCCGGGGGGCGGTCCATGCTGACCATCTCGGCCCGGGACACAGACCTCGCCCAATCCCCGTCGTCGTCGCTGTCGTCTTCGCCGGTCAGGGGAAAGCGGGTCTCGCCCATGTCTTCCCCACTGTCCTCAAGGATGATGACCCCTCACCTGTCCATGGATTACCACCGGTCCGAGAGCCCGGGAATCGGGGACTCCGCTACTGGGACTGAAAATGGTGGTGACTCCGCTCGGACGGAGAGCGGCGACAGTCAAGCAGCCTTAGATCAACAGCGCGGTGGTTGGAACGGCGATCTATCACACGTCGGCGGAAGCGACCACGCGGACGAATGCAACAACTCGGGTCGTCTCGAGGGTGGGGATGGCGATGCCCCGAAGACGCAGCCTCCTTGCGCTGCGTCCCCTCTCCTGCACAGCACCATCAACGGAAACAGCAGCGGTGGTTCGTGTGCCGCGTCCGCACCCTCCTCCACCACGGCGGAAGTCAAAGGCACTCGGCAAAATGGGGAAGACAAGGCCAAGGCCGACAACAACGCCAGGGACGACGCTGTCAATCCCATCGCAGGTGTAGGGGAAACCACTATCAGCACCAACACTAGCCGAAGCAGCAGCAGCAGCACCGGCAGCAGCAACAACAGCCCTGCGGCTTCCAACTCTGCTAACAAGCCAAGCTCCCCGGTCTGCCCCCGCCGCCCGGCACAGGGTGAGGCCGTTGACGGCGACGCTTGGGTGTGCAACGGCCGCCGGGACGCCCGAATCCCGGTCCGGATGACCCCCACCCTGGCCTGGAACCCGCCTCCACCCGACGTCGCCTCGGGAGCGTTGCAACGCTCTTGCAAGCGGCGCAAGATGCTCAGCGACGGCGCTCCTTCGCCGTCCTCGTCCTCCTTGACGCCGGGCTTGATGGAGGTAGAAGGGCGTGCTGCCACGGCGACGCGTCGGCCTGCCTCCGCCCCTTAAAAGAAAAAAGGCAACACCACACCAGTAGTAGCGCGTTTTGTGTGCCTGTTCGTATTGAAGTGAGTCGCGTGAATGTGGTACGGTTTTGTTCTTTGAGGTGCCCTGGGAATATACAGAGCAAACCGAGGGGATGGTTTGGGAAGGGACCTTGGCCGTATCCCGTTCTTCGCACGCTCTCGTTTTCTTGTGGGTGGGTATCGGGTGATCGTGGTGATGTGAAAATTATGTTCAAAGTACACTACAGAGTCAGGGCACGGCTATGAAAGCTGGAAATGAATTCAATGTTTGTGGTATGATGACTGTAGTGAAGAGTGAATAGTGGTGCCTTGTCTTGTTCGTGTATAAGGAGGCATATTTTTGATCGATGCAGAGACGGAGGGTGGGCCGATCGTATGCTTGTCCATGTAGGGTTTGGGATGAGAGGAGTTGAAATGCGTCGGATGGAAGGAGAAAGGAAGGCATCACAAGTAGTACAAAAGCTTGGAGAGAGGGTTCTCGGAGCGACGTGTTCATTTTGCGAAACACAGGGATGCGCGTGCGACATTCAGAGGGCGTGCTATCGCGGCGAACACTCTGCTGTAGTCTAGATGCTGACACTTAGAAACGGAGAAAGTTATTGTTTTTCGAGTGGGATATATGTTTTGTCAGAAAACACACCCCGCCCGCATGGGTTTTGGGGATAGTTCCGCGTCGGTGGTAACACCCTGGAGTACGCCCGAGTGGGGTTGAAGTGCTACTTCACTGTGTTGTCGGGAATACTTCAACCGATGGTGAGAAGTGCACTGAATAAAAAGCCATCGACAGACCAGCTTGGAATTGTCCCCACGCTTTCTGAAGGCGCGAACTACTGCTGCAGCTGATATGCATGTGTCGTTACCGACGGTTTGGATATCCATCGATGGCCACGCGAAAATATGTCTTTATTACAGGATAACACATTTGCACCCGAACAGGTTCTGTGGAGCTGATTCTAGCCAACGCGAAATAAAGGCGAACGCACATAGACAATCCGGAATAGCAACACAGCCGCTGGGCGAGCTTTCATGAACGTTTGCTTCACGAGAGCCCAGCAGTACTGTATACGGCACAAGATAAATCACCCGCTGGATCGATTTTCAAAGCTCGATTTAACGATTTATCGACAGCAAAACGGTGGGGGTGCGAAATGGCGGGGTTGAAGCAAGCCGTGTGGTCGAGAGCTCTCCAACAACGTACCTTTTCGCTTTTTCATCCTCTTCATCATGGGGTAATCGAGCTTTGACAATCGGTCCAGGGGGGAACTTGTCTTGTGTCGTATTCGGCACGGCAGCACGCAGAGGGCAGTTCGAGACGAAGAGCACGACACAAATCTCTCAAGAGGGCGAATAACGCCTCCATCCATTATTAGGTTATTAACAGCCCCTCCCGGTACATAAGCAATGGAGCCAGTTTCTCGATTACCAAAGGCTTGGTCTTGGCATTTAGCAATCTACTGCTGTCGATCACCCTCGTGAAATCGAAGTCTTCCTGTCGCCTGGTTTATACGCGCGAGATACCCCGGGATTCGATCTGACATCTGCAGGCCGTCACGCGAATTGCACAAGAAGGTCGGGGGGCGATGAGGAGATCCTCCAACGCTCCAAGGTGAGACCTCTCCTCTTCTCGCCCGCTGTACAATAGAGCCAGCGAGACACACATCATGGTTTTCTGGTGACGCTACTACAGTATACCATCCCTTAGCTAGCTGGCCCACGTTGTAGTACACTGTTACCACACGTACACGCAGGGAACGGCGTTGCGGTGTGGCGGGGTGGGCGAGGTGTAGCCATGCACCTCGAGCGAATAAGCGAGGCGTTTAAGACATTTGAAGTGCAGCTTTAACAGACTAAACTTAGACTGCATGTTCCTCAGGGGCAATCGCTCATCTGTTCCCTTCTTGCCGCGTTCGTGAATAGCATACAATATGCCGACCCTTTTGTTTGTCCTGCGTGAAGCAAGCGAGATGCAAGAAAGAGAGAACTTGCAGAGAGAAGGGCGAGGAGACGTTGTTGGGGTTCGCTGTCAGTTGCCGAGAAAAACGACGTCGACACGAACGAGATGAAGCCAGGTTTGTTTCCGGAAATAACACATGGCAACTTGGGAACGAAGCCCTGTATTGGGTTTCTTGGCAGTCTGATCGATGATGCCAGCTCCACGGCTCTTTCTTGCTGCTGCGGTCGCTTCATTCATCATGTTTGGCGTGAAATGATTCTATCACGGGGAATACGACCCCCTTCCTTGTCGTTCGAAAGCGAGGTGGGTTGAAGTTGAAGCATGATCTTGCGCGAAACAGATGAGAAATAGAGCTGGCGCAGAGCCTGCTCACGGAAGAGTCTGCAATACAACTCTGCAAAACAACTAGGGTCTTCAGCTGTAGTTCCTTGTGTTCGTGTGTGTGCATATGTAGGAAGGATCCGAGGAACGGTTCTGTGTTCCGTACATGAAGGGACTCGCTGTGGTACCTGTTGCAGTAGACTTGGATGAATCTGCGGTGCCCCCATGCTGCGTCAGCCTGTGTGGGGCACTCTCTTTTTCCTCTGTCTGTCGTGCGTTTGTCCTGCGGATCTAATACAAGCAATCAACTATACTTTCTAGTCACTGGACACAAATACGGGCATACCCGACAATCACTCCGGCTCTAGGAATGGTCAACACCTTGCTGCCCCACCTGTAGCTCCTTGTCGATATCGCGTTCACCGTACTTGGTGTGGCTGTACAGGACCGAACGAGTGTAGTTGATTTTTCCTTTGTCAACTATTGTCGAGGGCTATCACACGCTTTGGATCTTCGAACCAATGAGTGTGCCCTCTCTACTTTCATGAAGACTACAGTAGACACAAAACCCGGTTTTGGCACCCCTCTTTGTACCGTGCGGTACAGGCACGAAACAGGGAATATTTTCGTGAATACTCGATCTCAGATTGGCCTCCCGTCATCAGAATGCCTGTTTGTAAACTGAGTCTGTCTTGTGTCCTGTTGGCCCATCATCCAACAGGGAAGATGATTTCCTGTCCTTGTTAAGGGAAGCCGTCCTTCATGTTCGCTTCTGGGTTCTCGTCCCGGAGATCAACACTGCGGCGGTTTTTGGTGAAAAATGCAGGGCTGTCTCTTCAATGCTTGTGTCGTACTGGCGGATAAGCAGTTCAACCTTCATATACATGTATATATAAATACGAGCTGACAAAAACACTGGTTTACTCAATCTCAAACCTTTTCTGCGCCATTTGCCTAGGCATCCGTTCAGCCGCACGGACACGCGGAGCGATCACGTGATTATCAGCCAATGGTTCGAATGCATCCATTCTGCTGCGTGGATCACATGCTGCTGGCGACGAACCGACAGAACTGGCCCCAACCGTCAACCTGTGCCCTTGCATCCTTCACGGGAAAAGTCTACCTTGTTGCGGAGAATGTGGGTCATGTAAGTCAGTCCTGCGCCTGTCGATGCTGCCTGTGTGAAAGTTCACAAAACGCATATATCCCTGGCGAATGTGTATGATACGTTTGACTCGAAATAATCAGGCGGGTTGCGAGACAGGCCAGAAATCAATGCGCTGGCGACATGGCATTCACCATCCAACGCACATGACCGCAGATGACAGCTTGGTTAGTCAGCATGCGTCTCCATGTCGGCCCAGGGTCACTCGGGGGGGGTGAGGCTTTTGATGGTACGAGGTGAACATAATACTGCACACGTCGAACTCAATCCCCTTTCTCCTGTGCTCCAGATGCAAGTAAGTGCACGGCTTCACGCATGTTCACGACACGAAGAACAGAGAGAGCCTCCGCAGAGGGTGTTCTCGGTAAGCGACAGAGGCGCGCCGTGCCCCGATCCACGCGGTGAATGTACCACACACCAACCGGTCGCTCCGGTGGTCTAGTTGGTAACCTCGAAACCTTCTAGAGGTCAGGTCAGGGGTTCGAATCCCGGTGTAAGCGAGCTTTTCTTGCAAATTGAGTTTTTCTCTCGCTTCCGCTCCTGGCCTAGTGGATAACGCTAGTTAGTGTGTACACAGAGGGAAGAGAGTGCTGAACTCTTATCGCATGAAAAATCGAAGGCAAAGTACCGCAGGAGGGGAGGGTAGGGAGGGGCTCTTCTGTGTGACCACGGGTTGGAGTAGAAGGCACTTGTGTTGTGAGCGCTGATTTGAAGTGAAGACCAAAAAAAACAAAAACAAGTCTCCGGTTCTTCTCTGCCACAGTCTGCGGGTACAGGAAAGGGGCGCCAAACTGTACCTAGCCGTCCCAAAACAGAGCATGTTTGTCCAAAACGGGAGAATCGACAACTAGACATGGAAAGTAACCTCGTCGACGATGATCGCCTAGAACGGTGTGGTTTGTGAAAAGGCCTACCAGCAGTTCTGCAGTATTGCCTGCGCCAAGGAGGACTACCTGGAGGTACTTCAGTACCAGTGGCGTGAGGTGTCAGGGCTTTCCGGATGCTCAAGGTCCACTCTACCTTTCCTCGTCGACGTCGGCCTTGAAGAATTTCAGCAGAACGTGGAGAATTTCAGCAGAAGCGAGCATAGATCCTGGCAACACTAAAGTGGTGCGTGCGGAGAGCTCGCGTTCCGCATTCGCGCTCCATTTCTTGGACACGGGGTACCCCAGGAACAATCCCTCAGACAGACTTTCGTCAGGCAGTGGAAGCACGAGTGCCGCGAGAGGTTGTCGGTAATGGACGTGATAAAGATCGTGGTGCGTATCAAGTGGCGTCAGCACTGCAATGTAAACAATGCCGAACCGGCCAGTGTGGTGTTTTCACACGTCGTTGGGATACTCTCTGAACAGACCAAGACGGCTTCGTACGTGTCCCACCTTTACCTTTTTCGGGCGGGTTCAATCACTGTTTTTGGTGCCCTCACGAAGTCCGAGAGAGGCACGAAGGGTACAAGAGGACAGTGCCAAATGTGCACCAACGGTTTCACGGCATGTCGTGCTCTGGTGCGTGTTACTTCCACGTGGGGGTGAGAACCATGTGTACAGAATACGCGTCCGCAATTGTTTGTCGCCGGTTTGTTTGTGTGGCGAATGTATGGGTGCGTTCGGGGCTCGTGCCGCCATTGTTCATAGAGGTGGCCATATTTCACATGGGCCAGTCTCTAGTTTTTACAATATTGAAGTCTCTTATCTGCCTGATGGTTTATACTGAAGTTCGCTTCTGTTTGCATCCTCCGTTTGGGTCAGGACGGCGCTTCCCGCGTGCTGTGCATCAGGGACCCATACGCCTTCGGCCTGAATGTGCGACCCGGAAGATCTACATGGGCGGCTTCAAAATCGGAGACAACGTCGGTCATTCGCCGATGAGTTCTGCCAGACTGAGGTACGGGCAGGGAATTCACTTTAGCAGCATGTTTGGCAAGGCCTCCGACTTCGCAATGAAAACGGCAAAGGCGAGTAGTACTTCACATCTCTTCTGTGAGCTGCTGTTGGAAAAGGAGTGACGGAAACCGGTACCTGTGCAACGTTTCATCTAGCTGATACGTCATGGCCCGCATTTTCCTTGGAGGTCTGGGCGAAGAAGACACTCAAGATTCCGAATTTCAGCCCTGGAATTCAGAGACTTTCTGCAAACGTCCGGTGCATGAGGTATCTAGGCCAGCTGCAGCAGAATGTTTGTACCTACTTTCGCAGAGAGAAACCGGGCGTAACAGGAAACTCTGCAGGCGGGCAGAGATACGTGTGTTGAACCAAAGGTTGTAGCTCTCTGATCAATCCGTGCTCTCTCCCGACACACGTTCAATCATATCGAAACTTTGTGCGTAGTCCTCCTCATCACCAGCCACCAACCGAAACAATGCCGCAGGTGGCAGCAGACGGCCGGAGGGTAAGGTTCGTGATTGTGGCTGATGTCGCAATCGGGAAACTAACTTTCAGGACATGACAAGGCCGCCACACGGGTACAAGTTCATCGTAGGTATGGTGAGAAACGCCACCAAGCGGTGCCGAGGCTGTTGAACCAACAGTTTTTGTCAAGTATCGAGCGATGCATACCTAATCCTCTGACAGCTTGCTATACCTTGAGCCCTAAGGGTAGATTTCCGGTCGAGGTTTTCTACTGCTGCCTCATTGGTACAGTGTAGAGTGGTTCTTTGCTAAGTCGAGCATGCATTGCGTTTGGCTTGCCACACCTTGAGGTGCACATGCCGTTCCCCGTGCAAAACCTCGCTTATTCCTCAACACGACGTGCGATGTTTTGACGTTGACATCCAAGCCGGGTTCAATCCTGAAATACGACGAGCTCATCGCGTGCGACGAGGCTGCCACCCTGCGCACCTATATCGTCTCCTACACGCGACAAACTTCCATCCTGCCCCCGTCTATTAGGATCGAGACCGCCGGGCCATCGGGCTATTGCCGCCAAGCGGAAGCAGTACATCCAATCGTCGGGATCCGATGGGTCGTGAACCTCGCCCTCGCCTCAGAATGGATAGTGGGGCTACACGGTCCAACGGGCAGTGAAGGAAGCTGACGCTGAGTGCAGCACACTTGCATGGTGCCATACCTGTGGCTCAAGCACGGTCTGATAGTTCGTATTCCATCGAGTCACCAACTCAACGGCAGTTGACTTGGTGGTTTGATGTATCAACCGATGATATCAGAACCGCCGCCCACCTACAGGTTGGTAGCACGCTCGGAAATATCTGCACGTGAAACGCGGCGAAGCCGAAGTTAGACCTCGAATTCCATGGCATGGCCACAGGATCCTCGCGGTGGATCCGGTGGTACAAGGAAAACGTACTGCACGATGGCATATGGTGGTGTATCGGCAGCATGAGCATCGGCGGATCCATCAACTGGGATATCGGCAGCGAAACCGAGTTCACGTGGCGCGTTGTGAAACTTCATGAGAACTGGTCACACGACAATGACAATTACCGTGGTGCATCTCTCGTGTGTAGGACTTTGGATCGTAAGAGGGATAGAACGTTCCCGGTCGACGAACAAAGTTTGTGTTGTTCGTGAGAAAAAGGGGAACATGTTCCAAAACATGGATGTAGTATTTCGCGTCGAGAATAATCTACTTGCGCGCGATATTATTAATTGGTCTCGATCCTTTTCTTTGAGCTACAGATACTTTGATTTTCTCAATACATGTGAAGTTGAACGTGGGCTACCATGTATCTATGTAGACTACAGTACATTACGGGTCTCGCGCTATGTAAATCAAGTCGTGCTATGGTATACTTCAAATTTGTTGAGAAGGTGGATGGACATTTTGTTTGGGTGCGGTAGCTTCGTCATAGGCCGAAGGAGCAAGAATGTTGACTCAAGGCCTTGTTGAGAGATGTGTGGTGTGGGCAAAGCAAGAGCGGTCACTTCTCTCCCGTTTCCAAACTGGTACTACTGCAGGTGGTACACTAGGTCACGGCCGAACCGACAACGCGTATTTATTCCCCTCTATGCGAAGTCCAGGATTCATTAGCGTTGCTCCTACACACCGCCGCGTACCACGTGCCAACAACGATGCACGTGCTACTGTCCCATAGCAAGCCCCTTGAGAGTTCGAGATTTGCGCTTGTACGTTCTAAAATTCTTGCATGTTCCACTCCGTTTAGGATTGGTTTCAGCTACAAAAAAAATAAAAAGTTTAGAAGAATATTGACCGGGGAACAAGTGACCGGAGAAAATTGACCGGGGCTGATTTCTCTCGGCTCGCGAAAGCTACGAGCATGACATCGCGGCGGTGCCTTCGCGAGATCTACCCCTCGAGGGCCCTGTCGAAGAAATTTCAATTTCAATCGAAGCGACACCGGCGCCAAACCCAAGCATTTTGTCTCGCTCGAAATCCCTTTGACTTGTTTTAGGTGTTGCACCTGTTTGCTCTGCTTCTCCGCGGCTGAATTCTTTGAGCTCAACAACGCCACATACCGCCACGACGACGACGTTGGCGGCCATGCCTGCCCACACCCCAGCTCTCGCCAGCACGGCGAGCGTTTCAACTCGCGTCGCACGCAGCGCAGAGAAAAAGTACAATACCCCCCCAAATCAGAGGTGCTTCTTGGGTAAACCCTTGCATTTTTTCCCCACGGCGTACTCCACAACCGAGCAAGATACAGCCCCATGCTGGCAGCGGCTCGATGCACTAGGACGAAATAGGCGTGCTGCGTGTCAGCGCAGTTACGCTGTGCACTAGCAGCAGTACGATGCTGCAGATGCGAGGAGACTGTGTAGCCTACCTTAGAGGTTCACACTCTGTGCGGCTCCAACCGCGAGAGACTTGGAATGGAAATATGAAGATGTTTTTATTAGTTGCTGACTCCCGAGTCAGATTGATGTTGCTGGTACGTAAGAGGAGTGAGAGGGGTGGCAATCTTAGGGCTGCACCACTATCCTCGAATGCCGGACAAGTAAGCCAATCACATGAAAGAGCTAGAATGCTTCCAGAATGATTCTGGAAGCTCTCTTACGTCCTAGAAGAGTATCAAGTGCAACCTAGGTCTAGAACGCTTCCAGAAGCTAGCAGAAGGTTCCAGAAGGTTCCAGAAGGTTTCCAGAAGCTACACACGTTCTACGTAGATGTCCCGGTCGACCTTGACCTGGCATGCTTCCGGAATATTTCTCGAATAAGAGAATACATGCCACGGAGAGATAGATTATTTTCTACTGCTACGCAGACTAGTTGCTGCAATCGTATTCAAAAAGGTCAAACCGTGTCCGACAGTAACTGGTGGTCTCGACGCAGTTTTCCCTGACACGACCCCTCGATCAAGCAACTAATTTACAATGGTCAACCGCATCACCATATCTATTCCTACTTCGACCCCTCCGTTGGCATCGTATCGAAAAATAATTCCTTGAGCTCCTACTTCTTCTGGTCCACGAGCTGCTGGTCTCCTTCCGTGATGAGAATGCCGTCTACGTAGACCGTGAGAATCACGATGATGTTGCCGCTGGTATACACGTACACGCAGGGGTCGGATTGAGTCCTTTTCTATCCGAGCACCGTGAGAGACTCGTCCAGGGTGTCGTTCCAGAACGCCGGCGACTGCGACAGGCCTTAGAGGCTCCGTTCTAGTTTGTACACCATGAGTTCTCCTAGTGTCGCGGAGTTCTTGGCGGATGTACCGGGGGCGAGTCTGACGTACACGTCTCTGTCGCAGAGGGCGTTTAGGACGACACCGACAAAGTCCAGTTGGTAGATGGGCCAGTTGTTGTGGCAGCCAATGGCGCACGTCATGCGAATGCTCCAGATACGGCATACTAGGGCGTAACTGCGTCCGTAATCATGTCCTGGCTCTTGACGATGTCCTCCGACTACCAGGCGAGCTTTGAAGCGTCTGTCCAGCTTTTTCTTGAAGGCGAAATTCGTTGCTGGGATCTTCTCTCCCTTGGGAACCCCTCAGTTGTTTTTCCGCAGATTCTCCATTTCCTTGCTGCACGCTCCTTTCCATTCTTCGCGCAGGGGAGAGCTCATGGCTTCGTCGTAGGTGTTGGGGATTTCGATCGCTTGATTCGTCTGCTCCTAGATCCCGTGGTGGTCGTGAGTGAACTTGACGTAGGCGTGAGCACGCGGCACCGTGAAGGGGTCTTCCACTGCAACGGGCCGCGTGGAGCCATCCGGTCTTTCCTTCACTCAGCTGGCTGAGATAGCCGATCATGCCCAGCTGCCATGCCCTGGCGATACTGAGGATTTCGCCAACGTGGCGCAAGACCCCTGCACGGTTCCGCGTAAGAGAGGTCGAATCGCGTGCACTGGGCCAGGTAAAGGATGCTTCACGTTATCGACTGGTAGATTTTCTTGTCCGTGGGTCCTAGGATTTGGTCCTGAGGTTGATTCGTGGAATTTTCCGCTCGGTATCCAGGAGTGCTCACTGGGTTGGCCTCTTGCATTCGGAACCGTTCCAGAAGTGTGTTCACGTAGTGCTCCTGTGAAATGGCCAGGGTTTCTTGCTCGTAGTCCCGCTCTACGTCGATCCCGAGGATCCGCTATACCTCTGATCGATAATTCGGGTGGCTCAGTTGTGTGTGATGGGAGTGTAGAGCAGCTCGGTCATGACGGTCCGTAGGGGAAGGTAAAGTCGTACAGACGTGTGGAAAAACGTGTGGTATTCATCGGGGGCGTGCTTGAGCTCGTCATTCCATCACGGCATCAAGTCACGCATAACGCTTGAACACCCAGAACGAATCTCCATGAATGTCCACCAATCTACCACACTCCGAAGGAAAACATAAAGAAACATATTGTTCCTCCGTAGTTCGTCACTGCAAATCCCGCATATGTATACGC